TTAAAAAAATAAAGTTAATTTCATTTATAATTAAGAAAGAATGTCAAAAATGTGAATTCTTGTTTATGTATTGGCAATAAGTTTAAAAATCGCATTTTCTCAAAAACTTGTTCCTAGTGGGTCTTTGTACTTCACCCTTGTGTTACTAATACAAAGAACTGTTATGGTTTTAATTTTTATCAAAATCGTTGAGGTCAAGTTGGTGCGCTTGTGTGAGGATTCCTCTCATTTTCCTCTACAATATAATTTCAAGATGATGAATGATCAAAAGCTTCTTAATTTACACCGAAAAAAAATCCTCTTGTTTCAAGAGGATTCCTCTTATTTCAATGCATATTTTCCTCTAGTATATGCTGCAAAAGGATGTCCTCTAGGTTTAAGAGGATTGTCCTCTATGTAAAATTATTCCTCTTTATTTAAGAGGATACTCTTATTTTAAGAGGAAAATATCATCTTAAAAAGAATTCTGAAATAATAAAAATGCAATCATCTAATTTGTATGTCATAGATATAATCTATAAAATTAAAAGGAATAAAATTTGTTATTCCATGATTTACATCTATTTGAGTATAAATAAATTGAAATTGATTTTAATTTTTTTGAATAAATCAACTAAATCTATTTTTAATAATATTTTTATGCACAAAACATATAATTCATTAAATTTGAAAATTTATTTTAAATAAATTTTCAAATAAAATTAAAATAAATAAAAATCGTAATAAAATAAATTTTTAAATAGCATAACCTCAAAATTATTTAAATTTTCTTAAAAATTACTTTTAAAAATTTCTTTTACCTTCAAAAATAGGCATGTAATGTGTAAGTTGCAACTCTATAAAGATATTTAAAAGATTATTATCCATTTTGGTTTATTCCCCTTTTTTCACACAGAAACTAAAACTTTTTCACGTATGATATGCGATTTATGACGCGACATAAATGATATGACGCAATCATCTTTGCGCATGAGCGACTTTCTATGGGAAATCCTCTTAGAATTTAGAGGAATATTCTTAAACATAGAAGATTATTCTAAATTCTAAGAGTATTATTTTTATTCTAAAAAGATTATTCTGAATATAAGAGGAATGCTCTAGAATAGTCCTTTTGTTTCGATCCTCTTGAAATTAGAGGAAAATATTCTCATTTAAAGAGTAACTTGTTTTAAGAATAAAATTCAAGAGGATTCTGTAAGAGGAATTTTCCTCTGAATACAAGAATATTTTTTTTCGGTGTAGGGGAAGTTTCTTCAAGTAAAAAAATATTCTTCAAATGAGAATATTATTCTCATATAGGCAAAAATTATTTCTATCCTCTTACAAGGAGAGGAATATTGAATCAGTTTTTTCTCGAAAAAACTCACAATCAATTGAGGAGTATTACTCTCGTTTCAAGTATATAAAATTGTAGTTGATTCTAGAAGACACAATTTCCTCTTAAACGAAGAATATTTTTTTTGGAAAAACTCAGTTGAAGAATATTATTCTAGTTTCAAGTATAAAATTATAGAGGATTTTAGAAAAAGGCAACTTCCTCTCAGACAAAGAATATTTTTAAGCGCTTATTTTTTTTGCCAAAGTTACAATCTACAATATATATATATGTATATAATTTGATGATACTATGTTATATTGTATACCTGCTCTTTATAATATAGATTCCAGATTAAAGATTCGTGATAAAAGGGGATCTTGGCAAGGTTTTTCAGTTCCTGGTTCTTTTTGGAGAGGTCTACTCGATTCTTATATATATTCCACGTTCTCGTTTATTTTGCGAGTATAACGGTCGATTGCCACTGCCTTGTCATATTTGTGGAATGGGTCGCATTGTGTATGGGAGTTTATTTCGAAACAATAGACGAGTTTTCTTTTCAATTACGAATGGAGAAAAAATATATTATTTTTATAAAATTCTGATTGCGAGTCTAAAAATAAAATGAATTCTTGTTTTAAGAGGATAACAAAAACAATTAGAAAAAAAATGAATAAAATTCTAATTTGGAAGTTTAAAAATAAAACGAATTCTCGTTTTAAGAGGATAACATAAGAAATAGAAGAAAACTTTTTCCTCTCAATATAAGATTATTGCAAAATGTTCTTTGCAGTAAAAGCTCCTTTTAAATTGAGAATAAAAGCAGCAGGTACTTTATAAAGGGAAATATTCTTGTTTTGAAAGGAACATGTAAAAGACTAATAGAAGAGAGATTTTCCTCTTAAAATAAGAGTTTTTTTCCTTTATGTATTTATTATCGTTTATTGAAGATATAACTTTTTTTTGCGAAGGTAAAAAATTATTTGAGCACCTAAAAATATATTATAAAGTTTATACATTAACAAATATTAAAAAAAAAAGTTGCGACTCCCGATTAACAAAATGAACAAACATATTTAGCGAGTGTATAATCTGTGTGGAATTTATCAAAGGCTGGGCAGAATTAGCGATATAGAAATAATATGAAATTGAGACTATCCCTCACACAGCACGTGTGTGGAACTTAATATAGAGTCCAACGATCCTCTCGGTCCGAACACGTGGAAGGACTGGTCGAAAGCAGTTGACCCAGATTTTGTTCCTCCTTCAGAATTAACTGAAATATATAATATATTTATATAGGTATTGCAAAATGTGCTCTTTCGATTTTATTGCTTGACTTCTTCAAAAGGACGTAATTAACACTTTTATAATTGACCCGATGACAAATTTGAAAAATTTTTATTTCTTCAAATATAATTTAAAATTTAAAAAAAAAAAAATTAAATCGCAATTAATTTTTTTTAATGACAAATTATAGTGGAAGTATAGATTTTTTTTCATTGATGGCATTATACGATGTACTTCTTTATTCAATAGTTATATTGATAAAAATAGAACTGCTGGAACGCAAATAACTTTAGAATTAGAACGTTAAAAGGAGAAATGCGACGCGATGACTTAAAATTGTCGCGTCTACAACTGCGAGTAGTAATTTTCAAGGTTCAACATCGAGAGAAAGTGATTATAGAATTAATTTTTATTTAATTATTATATAATATATAAATATTAAAAATTAATTATATTTTTACAATTGTCTATTTTTTATTATGAAAATGAAAAGGACTTTTTTTTTAGTCAGAAAAGCCGAAAGAAGACAAAAGTTTCCTTTTCAATTAAGAGAATTTTTGTTTGGAATTAAGGGGATTTCCCTTAGAACTTTGAGGTTATGTTCTTCCGCGCTCATTTAAAAAAGATAAAAAAAATATTAAAATTTGTTTATTGATTCGAAAATAAGCGCGATTTTTTTTTTTTTTGAACTGTACACTGAAAAAAAGATTTAATTAGTTCAAATAATCGGTTACTTGAATCGCAAATAATTTTTATTTCTATTAAATAAAGTGTATTTGAATTAAATAAACGGTACTTGAATCAATAATTTATGTATTTGAAAAAAATACAATTCAATTCACTCAAATAAAAATTATTTGATACAAATAAACATTCATTTGATAATAGTCAAGTAACCAATTATATTTTGAATTAATTAAATTTTTTTTTCAGAGTATTTTTAAAAAAAAAATTTAATATAAAATAAAGGCGCTTTTTTTAAAAACTAATGATACAATTTTTTTTATAATTGTATTCTATTATATTAATAGGTAATTATATATACTCTTAAATAAAGAGGAATTCTTTTACTAATCAAGGTCTGGACTGGAAAATTGATATTCTATTTTTTAATTGTAAAAAAGAAAAAAATTGTTAAAAAAAACGTACTCCTTATTTATATATGTATATAGAAATACATATTTATTTATATACTACATATACATGTATAATTAAATTTTCATTGTCAGAGTGAGGCCCTTGTCATCCTACGTATAAATACACCTGCAGATAAAAAATATGAATGAATATACTATGCCGTAGGTGTATAGTATATATATACCTCTCAAAAATTTACACAGTCATTGATTTCAATTTAGTTGTCCTTAATAGGTTATTGTTCTTTTTAATCTCTCTTTATTCAATAAACATATTTAATTAAGGTTGACAATAACTATTTTATTATACTATAATAAAAATAAATTACTTTCAATGTAAAAAAAAAATTAAAATATTTGGTAAAATTGTACATTAAATAATTATTTTATTGAAGTACAATAAAATAATTATTGTATAGACTCTCTAAATTTATATACTACAAGAAATAACTTAAAGAAGAAATTTTTTTATCTAAATATTTATCCTTATTTATTTATTATTTTATTTGACATTCATTTACAATTAAAATTGTGATTTTTATTTTAGAAATTTTTATTTCGTATTCAATTTTTTTTATCTCATAAATGCGTGTGCCTGATGGGGTACTGACCAGATTTCGCTATTTAGTCTATTCTAGGAAAACTGACTAGTGCCCGACAAGGCTGTTTTATTTTGTTACTGACCAATACCCTACTTAGGGAAAACTTATCAGGGCCTTGTTAGTTTTCCTTTAAATTGCACTATTTTGTGAAATTAATTTTCTATTATTTATTACTTTTTCTATTATTTATTTATAAATGACTGTTTTTACAATTATTTATTTCTAACTTATATTTTATTTAAGATTATTACATATAGAATATAGAAAACACTTAAGCATAATTTTGAAAAATCTCGTAGGCATGGGGAATCGAACCCAAGACTCCTGAAACGCGAGGCGGGTACTCCGACCATACAACCGCATTGACTCATAGATATTTTATACCTAAAATTACACAAATCCATTCTCAATACAAACAACTGATCTAAAATATTAAGTAAAAACTAATTTTGATTTTACATATAATTAAAAATAAAGAATTTTTATAATCAAAGTAAAACGATTATAAACTTAAAATTTACAATTTTGTGTTTCAGTATTTTTCTAACATTATTTCTATTAAAAAATAGAATGGACAATTTTTCAAATTATTAATTACAAATTAAAATTAAAAAGAGGGAAAAAATTAAATTAAATAATTTTTTTTATTTATTTCAGAGAGATCACCTCCAACGAATAATCAAACGAGGAGACAAGTAAATGGAAGAAGCAATCAGGTTTCACGTACAAATAGTTATGAAGCAAAGAAAACGTGTCTTGATCCTCCAACTGTTAATTTGGGTAAGTTTTCATTTTATTTATTTATTTATTTTAATATCATATTTATTTATTATAACATTATATTTATTTATTAATTTTAATAACAAAAATTTATTGAAACAAAAATGAAAACTAATGTTATTAAAAAAAAAAATTCCTTTGTGAAATTTATTAATAATTTTTAATTTAGAAATGTTTAATTGCGATTATTAGAGAAAAAATATCTTCCATTTGTAAGAATGCATGTATGTTTGTCTTTATATTCATATATGAAACTGGTCAATTGTAACGGAGTAACTAACCGGAAGTATAATGGTCTCAACCGTCTAACGTCCCTTCCTTTCGTCGAATCCATTAACCATATATACAATAAACAATTAGGCTCCTCTGCTTAATTATTTTCATCACCAAATTCGAAGATTTTTACATTTATTTTTTCTAAATTCATCAAGTCAGCTGTTTTTATTTCTTCTTTTGTTTTTTTTTTACAAATGTTTAGCATTCATTTTTTATTAAAACAACAATTTTTCGTTTATTTTCTTTTTATTATTTTATATGAATTATTATACATATTTTTTTATTATTTTAAAGTTTGTTTATTGTTTTTATTTTTATATAAATTGTTATATTTTTTTGTTTATTTTTATTTATATTTTATGTACACTGAGAAAAAGATATTTTTAGTTCAATCATATTTATGTTCAGTAATAATTAGTATATCTTTGTTACAGAGTCAAACATATTTAGGTTTAATTCAATAATATACATTTTGATTATTCAAATAAAAATATATTTCATTTAAATATAAATTTTGTTTAATTCAAAGTAAGTATATCCTTAATATGCAGTTAAATATATTAAGTTTAATTGAAAAATATCACAGCCACACAAAAAAAAGTGCCCGGGTTGAGAGATCAAAGTACCCTATCCCCATGCATTTTGGGCCACTGAACACGAATCTGAAGTCCGTTTTGTTCTTGCGCGTGTACGTTTCTTCCTAATCTCAAAAAACATTTCAAATTTTTGGTGGTATAAGGTTTTTTTTTAAATTGATGGATTTATATGAAACTAAGTATTTATGGGTATTTGAGGTCGCTGATTACGAATCTGAAGTCAGATTTCAAAAATTCAAAATGGCGGATCCAATATGGCGGACAAATTTTTTTAAAAATAATTATTTTTTAGAAATTTTTTTAAAAATTCTTAGATTTTTATAGTATTTGTTACTTGGGGGTTTTAGGGGTCGCTCATTATGAATCTGAAGTTAGCTTTTCAAAATACAAAATGGCGGATCCAATATGGAGGACTAATTTTTAAAAAAATTTTTGGATTTTTATGAAACTTGAAATAAACTCAACCTGGACCGTATGCATTAGCATTACCCGATGAGGATGAGTTTATATCAAGTTTCATAAAAATCCAACAATTTTTTAAAAATTCGTCCTCCATATTGGATCCGCTATTTTGAATTTTGAAAAACTGACTTCAGATTCTTAATCAGTGACCCCAAAAACCCTTGAGTAACAATTTTCAAGCCGATCCGAATGATTTTTATTTTTTCGTCCTCCATATTGGATCCGCCATTTTGAATTTTGAAAATCTGACATCAGATTCGTAATCAGCGACCTCAAATACCCCTAAATACTTAGTTTCATATAAATCCATCAATTTAAAAAAAACCGTATACCACCAAAAATGTGAAATGTTTTTTGAGGTTAGGAAGAAACGTACACGCGCAGAAACAAAACGGACTTCAGATTCTTGTTCAGTGGCCCAAAATACATGGGGATAGGGTACTTTGATCTCCCAACCTGAGCACTTTATTTTGTGTGGCTGTGTAATTCTTTGGTTTATCTAGTAAATTATTTTATTTGTATTATATTGCGCACTTTGGATAAAAATACAGTAAATTTAATACACACAAAATAAACTTTAACTTAGAATCATCTCCGAACGATACACGAAAAATAATTTTTTAGGTTAAGAATCATGTCAAAATGTTATTGACAATAAATAGTAGAAAATAATTAGAGAAACATCCGAATTGTGAAACTTTGCAGGGAATGGTAGCTTTTTTCGATATTTGGCGGGGAACTAGAATAAAGAAAAGCAGGGTGAGGCAGGTGTCAACAATATAAAGATATGGCACATTTCGAACGTTCTACTGTAAAGGCCCAAGCAGAATAGCTTTGCAAAAGTTGTTTGCGAACGAGGTGTGTGAGATAGAAAATGACACAAATATATCTCTGTCCTTATCTAACTCATGCTTCACGTTCGCGAACGACTTTCGCGAAGCTATTGTGCGTTGGCCTTAATTCCAGTGGAAATTTACTTGCGTCCATTCTAAACTAACCCTTAAATTTAAATCAATCATTATTATAATTTCATTCAAGCGAATAATAAATTTTAAAATAAAAGTAAGAAATATCACTTATATACATTTTATTGAAAAAATATTAGTTTTCGAATGAAAAAAAAAATTTAATATCCAAATGGATCAAAATTGAAAAATAAGGGTTAATTTTGAAATTAAATGTTTTTTTACTTTAATGTATATATATAATATATAGAACAAAAATTTATCAAATTATCAAGCCAATCCAAGAACTTTTAGTATCTGACTTGGAGGATTGAGGAATAATCCCCGATAGACATAAAAAGCTTAATTTAATAACCTTTCTAAATTTAAATTCTTTTTATTTTCTTAAAGTGGTGAGATTTATATCCTATGTATATACGATTCTTATTTTAAAGGCACTAATTTTAGTCTTACTTAGCAATATATGTGAGAGAATTTATTTTATTACTGTTGTTTTTGTATATATAATTTTAATATTTTATTTAAATATTTCTTAAATATTAAATATTATTTAAATGCAAAACTATAAACGTAATTTAATTAAAAAATTGAATAATTTATTTATTTTATTTATAGTTGTTTATAATTTTTTTTTATAATTTTATAATTATTATTAAACGAAATAATATAATAATAATATTATAATAGTAATAAAATAGCTGTCAATGAAGTATGAATTTTTTGGGTTCATTTAACAAACACTTTGCTTCCCCATGAAAATTTTTTGTGATCAATTTATGATAACTTCTTTTGGGAACGGTGGTCTAGTAACAATCTAGTAACTTTCACCCATTCTCTCCCTCCATTTTGTTTTTTCTACTCTTTCTAACCTATTAATTGAAGAGAGACAAAGAAAGAAAATGGAGGGAGAGAATGGGTCCCCACCAGATGGCGTATTGCAGTTTAGCCGATCCCATTAGTATTCTAATAATTTTAAAAATCGTGTAACAATAATTTTGTTTTTTTTGTTTTTTTTTTGAAAATTGACTACAAATTGAAGTTAATTTTTAAGAATGGCACTTTTAAAAATTAAATTTAGAATTTTTAAATGTCAATAACTTGTTAATTTCAGGCTTTATAATGTGTTTAAAAATAGGTCGATCTATAAGTTTTAAAAGCGTCTATAAAATAGATGAAATATATTAAAACTTAAATGAAAATTTAATAACAGAACAACACCAAAAGTTTCGTTTTTAAATCAATAATTTTGAAATAATATTTTATAGTAAATTGTTAAATAATAAATGAATTGATAAATAAAATGTAAATATTATAAATAGTTTTAAATATTTTCTAAATTGATTATTATAATTTTGAAGTTAAATAAAGTTTTTTAAACAAATAATGCAAAAAAGTAAGATTTTTCAAAATTTTTAATTTTTATAATTTTAATAACTCTCGTTATAGAGTAACAGTAAAGTGTTCGCTACTCTGAAAAAAATAGTATTGAATCAAGAAAACCTATATGTACTTGCCCGTATTTTATACCAATATTTTTTTGATCCAAGAAAATTTACTTCAAACTAATAAAAATTTCTTGGATCAAGAAAATATTGGTATAAAATACGGTCAAGTACATAGGTTTTCTTGATTCAATACTATTTTTTTTCAGTGTAATAAGTCAAAACATGCGTCTTTAAAAACTCTACAAAATGAAAGAATAAAAATATCTATTAGTTGTTGTTAAGACATTTTTTTAACTTATGAGCAAAAAATTTTTTTTGTTAATTTTAAAAAGCGAAAAAAATTGTTAATCTTGATTAATCTCGCTCAAAGTACTCTCATGCCTGTGAGATCTACAATTTAAAAAAAAATTCATCCTTACATTCAGGAAAATTTGTTTGGAACAACCAAATAAACGTATTACTATACAGTTAACCAAACTTTTGATTCAATCAACAAAAAGTGTAGTTAGCTGAATGAAATTATTTTCTATCAAAATTTTATTAAAATAAACCAAATGTTTATTCAGGTCAAATAAATATTTATTTGAATCAAAAAAATTTTGTTTAACCTTTAAACTGAGCGGTCTCTCGCAAACCGTTATCTAAACATTTTTCGTTTATTACATATTTTTAAAGTACAATAGAAACTTCAGCTTTTTAGTATAGCTATAAATTTTTTTATGAAAAACAGGTAACAATTGTTTGAAAGTTTAAAATTCGTTAAATTTTATAATATGAATGCTCTCTTAATTTGAATCAGTGAAATTTCACTGGTGAAATAGCTAGAAGTCGGTTACTGAATCATTTAGTGAAATTTTCACTGAAAATCAGTCAATTTTACTAAATGAATCAGTCAATCTGTTTTACCCATTACCGATAATACAGATTGACTGATTCATTTAGTGAAATTTTCACTGGAAATCAGTGATATATGACTGATTTTCAGTGAAAATTTCACTAAATGATTCAGTAACCGACTTCTAGCTATTTCACTAGTGAAATTTCACTGATTCAAATTAAGAGAGTGAAAATATCGGTTTTTGATACCGGCATTAACTGTAAGTGTATAGGTAAATTTTTGTATAGATACACTCGTGGCCAGAAATGTGTCAACGCAGTATGAAATCTTTAATCGTAAATATTAAGCTTTTACATGAGAGAGAAAAGGACAAAAGAGATATTTCTATCCTTTTCTCTCTCATGTACTCTCTAAATTTGAATTAGTGGAATTTCACTGGTAAACCAGTTATAAGTATGCCACTGGTTTCATTTAGTGAAAATTTCACTGGAAACCAGTGTATTTTCACTGATTGAATCAGTAGACTCTGTTGATAAAACAGATTTCACTAATTCAATCAGTGAGATTTTCACTGTCAATCAGTGAAAATACACTGGTTTCCAGTGAAATTTTCACTGAATGAAACCAGTGGCATACTTATAACTGGTATACCAGTGAAATTCCATACTGATTCAAATTTAGAGAGTAAAAGCTTAAAATTTACGATTAGAGGTTTCATTCTGCTTAGGCCTTATATGCCTAAACATTTTTGTCCTTTTCTAACGCACGTGATGTCATGACAACATGTGAGTTAGAAAAGGACAAAAAAGTGTAGGCATATACAGCCAAGAGTGTAACTTCTGCGCATCTTGTTTTGTCAGTCATCATAACCTGCAATCATTAGGTGACGTTTTTGTGATTCTGTAAACACACTGTAAAAAATCATTTTGGAGATTGTACATTCACAATTTGTATTTGTGTTAAAATTTGTAAAATTACTATATTCAATAAGGTTATGTTACTACATTAAAAAAAGCACTTTTACAATTTTCTTTAAATTTACTACTTTCAAAGTGGGTAATAGGTGAAACATAATTAGTTGTTGCATCCGTCACCTATTACCCACTTTGAAAGTAGTAAATTTACAGAAAATTGTAAAAGTGCTTTTTTTAATGTAGTAACATAACCTTATTGAATATAGTAATTTTACAAATTTTAACACAAATACAAATTGTGAATGTGCAATCTCCAAAAAGATTTTTTACAGTGCATGCTAACACCATGTAAATAATTATTTATAAATAAAATAATAAAAAAGACTTTTCAATGTAAAAAAATAAAAAATGTATACGACAGTTGTCATTACATAATTTAAAATCACTATAGAAAAACATAAAAAAAATAAATAGCGGTTTGATATATACATAAAAGCATTAAGCGTAATTTTTTTAGTACCTAGAGCAGTTTAAAGGTTAAAATAATCGAAAAAATTGTGTTAATACAAAACAAATGGTGTATATTTAGTTCAAAGAAAACTTTTCTCTGAGTGTATAGCTTTTATAGAATTCGAGATATTTTTGAAAATGTAATAATACACTGTAAAAAAAAATTTTGTCTTATTTTACGGATTGAACTTGTAATCTGTAACTGAACTTATTTGAAAGCAGTAAATATACAATAACTGATTTAAACTTTATACTTTTAAAGTAGCACATTCGTAATTTTCTGTAAATTTACTACTTTCAAAGTAGTACCAAATATTACCCACTTTCAATGTGACATAATTACTACCGTATTTGTAATTTTACAGTTTTTTTTGTAAAAATGCTAACATAACCTAGTCAATTTGCCTCATTTAATTAAGTAAAATCACTGCTTTAAAAGAATGTAATATTAGGTACTACTCTGAAAGTAGTAAATTTACAGGAAATTTTTTTTACAGTGTACATATACACTCACGTAACATTTTTTAAAAATATAATTTTTGTATTCCTGACGTCAAAAAATATAAAGATTTCTATATCAAAAAAACGATTTTGAATAATTTTGGTATTACAATAATTCCTCCATAAGAAAGCAATAATATAAAAAGTACATAAAAAAAATTTATAGGTTAGATTTTATGAGCACCTTTACCTAAACATATTAATTTTATAGTGCTTGGAAAAATCGAGAGAAATTTCCTAAGAATTCTATAGAAAAGTAAATAAAATAACGACAATATACCTGAGCGTATTAGACATACATTCTCATGTCTACAACACCTGGTGTTAGCTATTCAAAAATGTCGCTCGAATCCTTTTCTTGTCCTATTTTTATTTTGTCCTCGTCGCCAAAAGGAAAATCCCACTTTTATAGAATACATGATATTTTTCGTGTATACTGGAATTTCCTTCTAATTACATATATTATAATGCAATAATTTTTTTTTTCATTTTTATTTAATTAATTTTGCAATTTTGACGGTAAAATAATAATATTGTTATTTTTTAATTATTTCAAAATTAAATAAAGTTGCAAGTAAAGTTGCAAAGTAGGTTCCCAATTGAAGGGGGGGGGGGGGGGGGGGTTCATTAGATAAAACTGTTTGTGACAGTGCATTAACATTTCCGTGAAGGAAGGTGAAATCCTTATTGTTCTCTCTTTAAAATAGTGTTCGACTTCGCACTTTAACGGAACGGAAATTTTCAACTTAAAATATAATAATTATTATTATAACCATTATATTTCCGCTAAATTGAATTTTTAAAGAAATTATGGTTTTAGAAAAAAAAAACCATTTGAATTTTTTCGCAGTTCAAAGAAAACATTAATTATAGAAACTTTAATTATCTGGGGTGTAAAAAAAGTTAATTATTATATTTCTTTAGCAATGTTGTAATTTATTTATAATAATTAATTTTTCTTATTGTTAGAAGTGAAGTTTTGTAATTTTCTTTTTTTTTTTAATTAGGACATTTTTTTAAAACTTAATTGTACAATTGAACGTTAAAATAAATAATTTAATAATAATTTGAAAAAATAAATAATTTAATAACACTTTAATCAAATAAAAATAATTTAATAATAATTTTTAAAGAATAAACAATTTAATAATAATTTAATATAATAAAAATAATTTAATAATAATAAATAAAAAAATAATAATAATAAAAAATGTGAAACTTTTGAAAATAAAAGTAAGAGAAGAAGAGAAATTTTTTCCTTTTAAAATATTTTTTAACGTTTTACTGCTCGGCGATCGTATATCCATACCATCGCAGGGCAAATTTGAGGAGTTTGTTGATTTTATGTAGGTTTGGGTCTTTGGTAAATTACTTCCTTGGGTTTACTGCGAGGTTTGTTGCAAATGCTGTCAGTCTGTCCCCATCTGTGGGATTTCTCGCACTAGCAGAAAATTCCATTCCTTCATGGGAAATTGTTCAATGTGCTGCAAGTTGTGAGCGTGTGAAATTTTTTTACTTAATTCTTATAAATTTATTTCTTAATGTGTGAATTGTGTAAAGAACAATTTTTTCTATATTAACAAAATTAAACATATCAGGTAATTAAATTAATTATTATTAATGAAAATAAGGAAAGGCATTTAATATTTTTTCTAATAACATAAGTTTTCAATTTTTTAATAGAAAAATTTAATAATTATATATAAATTGTAATTAATAATTTATTATAATTATTGATAATTGATAATTGTTATTGTAAAAAAAACTTATTTTCGGAGACATTTTTGAAAATTCATTTATATTTTGAATAATTTTTATTCTCTATGTGTTGAAATTGTTTTTTTTTCCAGAGAAATATAAAAATATGTTTTCTTGGGTTTTAATAATTTATTTATTTGTTTTTAGAAAAAAGTCCATCGGCAACGAGAAAAGCACCAATTGTACGACGAGCCGCGACAATCATCCCAAATAAACAAAAGAGTTCCTCTTCTATTAAAGGTATTTATATGAAAACAATTTTTTTTTTTTTAATATTCTGATTAGCATTTAATTTTAATTAATTTGGATGTATGAATATTTATTCACTAGAAATAAAATTATTGTTCGTGTTTCCAGGGGATTGAAATTTTATTAAAATTTTGACATCGGAGAATTGTTATTTAACCGATTTTTTATTATTCCAAAATTTTTATTTAGCAAATTTCTGATTTGTATAACCAGGGTGTCTAACTGTCAGGAAAGTCAGGGAAAAGTCAGGGAAAAGTCAGGGAATTTCTTTAATTTTCTGGAATTTTTTATAAATAAATTAAAGTAACTATTAGTTTCAAAATTTTTTTTACTTTTTTCCCAAAGCAAATGCAAATTAAAAAGGTTGGCCTTCACACTCAATTATTAAGCATGTGATATATCTTATATTCATTAAGTAAATAATTATTTACTACTATTTATTGAATTTAATTAATGATTTTTTAAACTTGGATAACAATTAATTAATTTTTTTTCATTGAAATATTTGGTTTTTTAATATAAATAAAAATTATTTGTTACAATTTTATTTTATCGGTTCAACTTCAAATAAAGTAAATTATTCATTAATACGAATAATTTATTATTTAATGCTAATACCCATATTTAACTTATAAAAATTTTGACGGCGTCGAATATTAAATTAACGAATTTCTATTTAGCAAAATTGTATAAAGTTGATTTTATATTATGCAAAATTTTCAATTTACATTTAACTAAAATTCGATTAAAAAGCATTTCTATTTAGCAGAACTCTTATGAAGCATTTTTTTTAAATACTTTTTTTAAAATTTTAAATTAATATAATTTCAATTTAACGAAATTCATGTCTAGAAAAATTGACAAAAAAAAGAACTAGGTAGAATTTTTCTTAAGGCCAGGTCTAAGTGAGACAGCGCCATCTACATTGAAACTAAAATTTTGGAAAATTTTCAACAGCCTTTTCTTGAAAACAAGAAGGTAAAATGCTTTTTCCTTTATGGATAATTGATTATTGGCAAGATATACACCAGCTAAAACTTTTTTTGAGTTAAAATAATAAAAAAAATTTCATGTCAATAAATTAAATATGAGCACTTTTTTCACAAAAAACTGTAACAGTACTTTCTCAGAAATTACAATCAAAAATGCAATTTCCATTTGGAAAATTAATAAACACTAAAAAATACACGACCTAAGATTTACCAATCACGAAAATAATAAAAAAAAATTTTATTAAATATTAAGCATATTGATACTGCTTTACTGATTGTGACAACCCTTTGGTAGATTATGTATTTCAGGTGGTTAGCAACAGCGCCAATCTCCTCCTTTCGGCAAAACCGCGAAACGTCTGGTGACATACATAACCTGCCAAACGGCTGTCATAATGAGTAAAATATGTTATGTTAAAATACTTTTTTTTGTTATTTTCGTGATTGATAAATCTTAGGTCGTGTATTTTTTAGCGTTTATTAATTTTCCAAATGGAAATTGCATTTTTGATTGTAATTTCTGAGAAAGTACTGTTACAGTTTTTGTGAAAAAAGTGCTCATATTTAATTTATTGACATGAATTTTTTTTTATTATTTTAACTCAAAAAAAATTTTAGCTCGTGTATATCTTGCCAACAATCAATTATCCATAAAGGAAAAAGCATTTTACCTTCTTGTTTTCAAGAAAAGGCTGTTGAAAATTTTCCAAAATTTTAGTTTCAATGTAGATGGCGCTGTCTCACTTAGACCTGGCCTTAAATGAGAATTCTGTTAAATAAGAATTAGTTCGAATTAAAATTTTCTTTAATAAAAACTTTGTTAATTAAGAATTTTGTTAAATAGAAATTCTATTAATTGTGGATTTATTCAATGACAATTCTGTTAAGTAAATATTTTCATAAATCAAAATTTACTAAAATATTCTGTTAAAAGAATTTGTTCTTTATGTAATTTTTCTTGACATAAATTCCGTTAAATTGAAATTGTATTAATTTGAAATTCGAAGTACTAGAAAATCTGCTTTTTATAATTTTACTAAATAAAAAGTTGATAATTTATAAGATTTGACGCCGTAAAAATTCTTTTAAATTAAATGTTGAGAATATTTATACGTCCTCAATTAGTTTATTTATATCACTTAAATATTTTATTTTTCACCAAACATTATTTATTTGGTTCAAATACATATATATAAAATTAGTGGATAATAGACAGGTAAATGATTTAATTGTATCAAAATAAAATTTATTTTATAAAAATAAAAATTTTTTAATGTAATTTAAGTCAGGGAAAAGTCAGGGAATTTTTTTCCTAGCAGTTGTTAGACACCCTGATAACAGAATTTTTATTTAATTTAATTTTTAAATGGTAGAAATTTTATTTTATCGAATTTGAAATTTCTGTTTAACGCAACTTTTATTTCAGTTTAATTTTTTTTTAATAATTTTTATTATTTGTCTTATTTTTATTATTTTTCTTATTTTCATTAAAAACAGTATTTGAATGTAAAAATTGAATTTAGTAGAAATTTTTGCCCGTATAAATTCAGTCAAATAAATTTTGGTCAATGAAAATTAAGTAAAGAACAAAAGTGTAACAAATTTGTCAAAAATAGAAATTTTATTGAATAAAAATTCTGATAAATTGAAAATTTGGTTAAATAAAAATTCTATTGTTTGAAATTTTAATTTAATTTTAATTCTTTTTCAAAAATTTAACTTTGTAAAAAATTACAATCTAATTCAAAATTCGAACCAATAAAACAGTAGAAAATATTCATCCATCCAATTTAATTATTTAATTGATTAGCATTTATATCAATTTTTACGAAAATTAAAAAAATAAATAAATAAATTAGCATAATAAATAATTATTGAAAAAAAATTGCAATTTATATTTTATAATTATTCATATATATATATTAATATAATTGTTGATGATCGTGTGCTTACGAAAAAGAAAAAGGAAATGACTGATAAAAAGTAAATAATGATACACTAAGAATTTAATTCTAATTATTAATAAAAATTAGTTTTTAATATATATATAATTTAGAGGAGTAAAATTTTGGCATGCTTTTAGATTATAATATAGAACTCAGCTTCCTATTCAAAGCTTGAAAATGTAATAGTTAAATTTAGATTTAGTCAAATATTATAACTTCAGTTGCAGCGTGTTTTAACGATGTTTTGAATTTTGAAAGGAAATACAATTTTTTTTTTTTTTTTTTTTTTTTTTAATGAAAAAATAGTTCATTACACTATATGGTTTTTGTCTTTTTATCTTTTAATATATATAGGTATTTGGTGTTGAAGTTATATATTCATATATTACAAATTCTGACTTTCTCTAATTTTCAAAATTGCCGATTTGAAAATAATTTTTTGAAACATATTTTTATGTAAGAAAAAAATAATAGAACTTGTTAAAAAGTTCAATATCAGAATATAGAAAAATGAGAAATTTTTTTAATTAATTGTTTGGTTGTTAATTAATTTGGTTTATTAATTAATTATTATTGCTTATTAAATATTAATTGATAATATTTATTTTATAAATTTTTAAAATATTTTTTATTAATAAATAATTTTAATTAATTAATTAATTAAATTATTCCAATTAATTGGAATATTGTTTCAATATGTTTTGTTATTTTTCAATATTTTTTATTAACAAATAATTTTAATTAATTAATTAATTTAATTATTCCAATTAATTGGAACATTGTTTCAATATGTTTTGATAAAATGAAAATTTTCTATTTGTGAAATGCCATTTTTGTAGTTGAAAACATTGAAATAATGAAGAGATTGACAATTTTAGAGTCAATTGATTTAAATCACTGAAATTTATTGTAATCTACACATCCTCTCTTAGAATAACTAATCTTCCATATATTTTCTCAGATTGATGGGTTATAAAAGAAGCAAAAAGGAAGTGTTTTAGAGTCATTATTGGATCCATTATTAGATACAAGAGTAGTTTTATAATATGTATATATAGAAACGTGATGCTGAAGAAAGGGACCTAAGAAGAAACAAATTTTAGGTTATGTTTTTTTTTAAGTTTTTTCCTTGATTATATGAGTTCTTTTTTAATTAATAAAAAAATCATTTTTATTGAAAGATATAAATGAAAACTTAAAAATTAATATTTTGCATATTGAAAGTTGATTTTCACTCCAAACTATCATAAACAATATAATTTTCTTTTGCTTCTTAAGTCCCTTTCTTCAGAGCATATCACAGATGATAATATAAAAAAAAATTTAATAATATAGGGATATACGAAATTTTCGATAATCAATCGACTCTTTGTTATCGAACACAGAAAGTTTCATATATATGTGTTTATTGCTGAGGCAGCGAAATTTTATTCACTCCGAAACGTATATTACTCAACAATTAATTAAGAGTTTTTTTCTTAAATCACCATTCGTGCCATATACCTCATTTTTTTTATTTATTTTTTTTTTTCGTTTCTCAATCACTTTAAGTCAGTAGCCGAATACTGCTGACGATTATTTAACTTATAATATTATACACAAGTTATCAAGCATTAGATATAGAATCTAGTTTTAATATTGAAAATTTTTATTTTGATTAATTATTCGATTCTTTATAATAATTCACATTACTGCATATCGGGGACAATTATGGTCTACATTTATTAAATTTCACACTTCATTAATATTTCAAATTTAGGCGAATTTCTGATGAAACGAATTTAGAATTAATATAGGATATGTTTTCTTAGGCGTTATTTTAAATGAAGAAATTTTTAATTTACCGAATTTTCATATTAAAGGAGAATGGTGACCGTAACATGACGTCAAATTAAAAATTTATTTTTAACTATAATATTTTTAATACAAATTTAAATATAGTAAAAATTAATTTCAATCAATTTTGAAAAAAAAAAGTTGTAAATTTTTCGGAAAAAATTATGTTCAGTCAAAATAATACGTGAGAAATAATAATTTTTTTTACCTTTTTGATTTTTTTTTCTTTTAGCTCAGATAAAAATTGCAAATTTTTATCCAATTTTTTATAAACAATAGCTTATTTTACATTCTTGAAAAATTCTCTATTCATAATTTTTTCAATGTTTTTTAAAAATATTTTGTTTAAAAAATAATAAATATATCAAATTGTTTTTATTAAAAAATTTTTTAACAACATTGAAAAAAATGACGATTACAGAGGATATTTTAATGAGTAAATTAAGCTATTATTTATAAAAATTGAATAAATTTGTAAAATAAAAAAATACGGATAAATTTAAATTCAAATAAATAGAAATTCTATACATATTTTTAATTAAAATATTGTTAAAAGAAAATTTTACTAAACTTTTACAAAATCAAATTTTTCATGCCGAAAATTATTTACCTAGACGAAATTTTCGCAGGGAAATTGTTAAAAATAAATAAATAATAATAATAAACAAAATTTTTTTTCGAAAAATAAAAAAAAATTGTTTTCATAAAATTTTGTCTTTTTAACAGAAAATTTATAATAATATGAAATTTTGGTAAATCAAAATTTAATTAAGTGAAAAAGAAGCTACTTTTAAAAAATAAGGATAAATAGAAATTGTACTAAATAAAACGTATGTGTTTAAAAAAAATCCGGTGTGAAAATTAGATTTAATAAAAATTCAGTTTAAAAATATTTTACAAACATTGTTTAAAAGCTTAAAAAAATTCCATCTTTGAACAGAAAATTTAGTTTAAAAAAATTTAACTTAATAAAATTCCCACAATTTAATCGAAAAATTGATTTAAAAAAAAAAATTTTTCTTTTATAAAATTTTATCTTTTTAACCGAAATTTCGGAAATATAATTCGTCTTTATAAAATGTAGTCTTTTATTGAAAAAAAATTTATCATTAAAATTCGGCTTTCTTAATTGAAAATTCGTTAAATAAAAATTCAATGATCAAAGAGAATCTGCTATTAAAAAATTCGAATATCTATAAATATTGTTCCTATAAATCTAAACAAAACTATTTCTGAAATAAAATTTAAAAAATAAAATTTTTAAATATATTGATATACAAAGATATAAATACGAGAATTTTCTCTTCTTTTTTTTTTTTTTTGGAGCAAATACCGTGGATTCTCAAATAAAAGTGAAATGAACATTTTTAAAATATCTCGTGTCAATTAATTTCTTGATTTTATAATTAAATTTTCCTCGAGAATTTATAACATTTCCTAGTTGTCTTTTTGTTATATACTCGACATATTTGGAATAAAATTTCTCCTCTATATGACGAGATAAACGTGTTTTTTTTTCATATACGAGAGAGAAAACTACATTAGATCAGAAATGAACACTCAATTCACAAAATGTATATATATATATAGTGAAAGTTCACGAAGCTTTCTTACTGCTTTAGGCCAAACACGCACTCATTTATTTCTATACACTGAAAATAGAAAAACCTATATCATTTTGTCGATCTTATCAGTCACTTAAGTTTTACAGACGGAAAATTAGGGAATTCCTAATTATGCCTGTCCTTTTTTTTTTCCCTTCGAACAAGGCAATACGTCTCGACCGACGATAAGATCCTTACGCAGTGATCGTTAATCACTTTTAATGAATTCGTATATATTTCATGCAGGACAAAAAAAAACAAAAATTTTTTTTTAAATGACATTTTAAAGGCCCTTTATTTTATTTTTTTTAAGTTTTAAAAAAAATCACTGTATAAGCTATTTACACTTTTTTCACAATTTTTAGTAGTTAAAAAATATTCCATTAATTTCATATTAATTCTAATTTTCAGTGGACGAATTTTTTTTTTTTAATCTTGTTTTCGGGGTAAATGGTGAAATTTTTCAAAGACGAAGTAAAATACTATTTTACCGAATTTTACATAAGAACGAATTTTTATTAAACCAAATTTTATAAAACTAAATTTCTATTAAGTCGAATTTTAGAAAATTAATTTTTTTTACTTCACTAAATATTGATTTTAACAAAATTTGTATTTATCAAAATCCCCCCCCCCCCGAAAAAAAAGAAATGTTTAACTAAATTTCAGTTCAACTTGATATTAACTTTGGTAACTTGAATTTTTTAATCAATTAAATTTTGTATAATTGAATTTTCAAAAAGCGACAATTTTGAATCACTGATGGAAAATTTGAATTATGATTTTTATAGAAATTATTTAATTTGTGCCATAAAAATTATTTTAAAAATATTTTTCTAGAATAATAAAAATTTATGGATAATTTAGCAGTAAGTCAATTAGCCATTGATGGGCAGTTAGTAAAGTTGGCAAAGAAGAAGGGGGGATGTGGGGGAAGGCGGGTATGTCAAAGAAGAAAAGAGGGATAAGAATCGCAAAGGAAAAGCGTGCCTCGATGCTAGGTGCTAATTCAGTTTCAGTCGGGTACGCATATATAGTTGTTGGTCGAATGTCGTTAAACGCAATCACCTAGATATCGAATCAATTAGAATATTGAAATTAATTATGTGAAATTGAAAAAAAAATATATAATTTTTATTTCAATCAAAACATTGCAACTCGTGAATTTTCATTTCTATATTATATTGAACACAATATAAAAAAAAAATAATAATAATAATAATAAAAATAATAAAAAATAATAATAATTATAATAATAAAAAAATAATAATTATTATAATTATAATAATAATGTGCCTCTGTCATAGATGGAAAATTGCATTTTATTTTGCAATTTATTGATAAATATTAGTTATTATTCATTATCATTGTTAGTTTTTAAAAATTCGAAACTAACATAAATTCCCGATGTGATTATGGCATAAATTAAAAAAAAAAGAAAAACAATTTTCAAAAATAGTTTGAAAGCAATTTAGTGTCGAGTGAAAATTTTATTGAGGATATAATAAAATAAAAAATGTGAGTTGATGTGTGGATTCTCGATTTCAGTGATTTAATGAAAAAAAAATGCTTTCTAATGCATACACATTATATTTTTTTTTTATTAAACAAAATTTGAAAATATAAATAAAATTTACATAATAAAAATATTAATAAAAATACATAAAAAAAGTAAATAAAAAAAATAAAAGTAAAAATCTATATAAATAATTTAACTAAATCAAACTTATAAGTAAAATTTACAAAAAAAAAATTACATGAATAAAATTTATGTAAATTATAATTTTTAAAGTAACTAAAAAGTTATGATTTAAATATTTTTTGAAATTTCAAATGAAAAATATAAAATGAAGATGAAAAATGTAAATAAAATTGAAAGTAAAAAAAAAAAAAAGAAAATTAGAGATTAAATTCAGTGTCAATTGAGAGAAAGTGATGATGATGATCAGTTAGACGCAAGTTATGGGAAATTATTGTAAAATATTCAACAAAGTGTGTTTTATTTATAATATTATATGCTGATGGGTCCCGTTCCATTAATTGTAGATCGTGGACCAAAAGAAACTACTACGTCTCCAGGAACGAGAGAAAAAACTGCCCAGACTGATGCTGTGATTAATGAGAATTTTAATATCAAAAGAGCCGAAAGTACAATTCAAGCTCTTTCGATTACCGTCAATTACCTTGCTAATGAGGTGAGTTTTCTTTTAAGAAAAAAGAAAAATTCTTTTTTATAATTTAAAAATTCAAATAAATATTATATTTTACACGAAAGTTTGAATAGAATCTTATTTTTAACTTTATTTTTAGTGCCTTTATATTTTTGCAGTGATTCGTTTTCAGAAGTTATAATTAAAATCTATAAACAAAAGGTTATTTTTAATTTTTTTTTTTTAAATATCACAAAAATTTATATATTTAAAAATTTTTTTTTTATTTTCAATATTACTTTTTTTTTATTTTGCTATATTTTTTGTTTGAAAAAAAATTTATTTATTTCGTTTTTTTACATTTTTTATTTTATATTATATTTGCTATTTTAAAATAAATTCCAATTTTAACTACATTGAATGAATTAAATTTACTTTATAGATACTTTGCAAAATAGAAATAAATACTAATTATATTAAGTATATATAGATAAAAAAAAATTCTATTTTCATCCTTATTTTTATTTTGTTCCATATTTTTTGTTTGAAAAACAATTTGTTTATTCATTTATTATTTTATTTCTTTCTTTCGTTTTTTTTTACATTTCACATTTTTTATTTATTTACATTTTTAAAATAAATTTCAATTAAACTGCATTGTATTAATTAAATTTACTTTATTTTGAAAAATAAAAATTATATGAAGCATGTAGATAAAAAATAATTTAATTTATTTAAAAAAATATGTTGTTAAAAAGGAATATTTTTATGTTTAAAACAAAGTTGACATTGTTGTTTTGTTTATATTTTTGAAATCATTATGGAAATTAGATCCAGGGAAAAAAATAATATCGATAATTTTGATATTTAATTTATCACAATTATTGAAAATAATATAATTTATTTATTTTATTTATTATTTATATAAATATATTTTTCTATTAGTATCGTAAAAATGTTATAAATTAAAACTATAACTAAAAAAATAAAATAATTGAAAAATCATATGGAAAGTTGAAAAAAAAAAGAATTTTATTTTTTAATTAGTGGAAAGTTTTGCAAATAATTGAATTATATTGAAAAATTTCCAATTTCAATTAAATTATTAATAAAAATAGGAGTTGAATAATATTTTTTAGTTTTTGAATTGTAATATGATAATTGATCCACTTTCAAATGGAGGTAGATTGATAGAAGTTGCGGCTTTGGAATTTCAGGGAGATTTCATGAGAGTCATTCCATATAGTTACATTTAAAAGGAAAATCTTTGCACAAGAATCACCAGAAATGGTGCTTTCAAGTTTTTCTCGCACATAGTATAGAAGTGGACATCTTAAGCGGAAAGAAAAAGTTTTATTTTCCATTTTTAATTAATTCCTTTAAAAAAAAACACCATTTTTAAAAAAAAAATTGTTTAAAAAATAATTTAATTAAAAAAATTTTTTTTGGAAATAATTTTCAAATCAAAAAATTACTTTTAAGTTTCTTAAATTAAAAAAAATAATTAAGTGTATACATAGTGAGAATATAAAAATATATCAAAAAAAAAAAATTTTTTTTTCGCAAATGAGGGATAAAATAAATATTAAAGAAGTCGTTATCTAGAAAGGTGTAATTTCTCAAAAGAACGGGATTGTTCTCACTTTCTACTTCCTCGTATATGCCAAAGCCAATTAAATCAAAAGCGCATAATTGTATTTACAGCTACTTTATTCCCTTGTTCTTCCTTAATTAAAGCACTTGGAGTAATATTTTTCACTTGAAAAAAAAAAAGAAATACAGTGAAGACTATAATTTGTTTGTTTAAGAAACCGAGTATAATTATTGGTTTCAAGCTGAAAATATACACACCAAAAAGAAAATAATAATTTCTTTGTAAATAATTTTTTTTACAGTTTTATATTTTATCTGACATAATTTAAAAAAAAAAAATAATTTTATTAGTAATTTAATGAAATAATAAAATAAATTTTATAGAAAATATTTTTATAATAAAAATTAAAAAAAAAATATAAACATAAAATCAAAGTCAATTTATCAAGATATATATGTATGTAAATTAATTTTTCTTTTTTGACAACATTAAAAAGATTATACATTAATATAATCATAATTCATGACTCAATATTATATGAATACATTGCCATTATAATATATGTAAACATTTAAGTTTCTTAAGATGGATCAACAACGTGAATATAATTAATAATTTATTAGTTCAACTGAAATTAATTCATGGCCGTTCAAGTTCATGGCTTTGAAAATTCTTTCAAAATAATATTTATACTTCGATAAACAATTATTATATATTGCGCGATGATTTTATGAGATTAATTTTTCAAGATTAAAAAACTCAATATTTAAGAATTGAAGTTCAGTTTAATTTTTATTAAAATTTAATATTTTTAATTAAAAAAAAAATTTAATTATTATTATTATTTTTTATTATTGTTATTTATTATTAGTATTATTATTATCCAAAATACTTGTTGTTTTTCCATCCAGTAATAATAATTATTAAATATTTAGAAATAAAATAAAATATTCAAATTAATATTTATTAAAAAATTAATATTAAAATAAAATTATTCAAGCATTGAGAATGAATTTAAAAAAAAAATTAAAAACGAAAGTTTTGTCACCACGCAGATAAAATGGAATTTTTTTTCTTAAGATTTAGAAAAGCGAGGAACATTAAATCATTTGGAGATACTAATTTATATTATTACAATTTACTTTCTACCTTTTTCTTTTATCGATTATTTTTAATTATGGCAAAATTTATTATTCTTTTTTTTTTAATAAACCTAGAGCAATTTCTTAAATACAAAAATGCAATTCTCTAGTTCACTGAATTTTTATTTAATGTGATTTAACCGAATTTTAATATAATATTTATTAAAATTTGAATTTTACCAAAATTTTCATTAATAGGCATTTTTATTTAAAAACTTTTTTTTTTAAATATTTATTATCAATAGAATTTTTATTCTCACATTTAAATTATTTATTTATATATTATAATATTATATAAATTGTATATTTAGTAATGCATTTTTTTTTTCCACAGCTTGACGGATTCTCTTCGTTGAGGTGGAGAAGAAATTACGAGATGATGAAGACGAAGTGGTTAACTGCAAATGAAAATGTCGAAAATTTGAGGAGCAGACACATTGCTATTGAACAATCAATAGAAGAAAATAAAGAAGAACACCGAAGAGCCTTGGAGAGACTACAAGAAAATTGTAAGTTCAATTTTTATCTAATGAAAAAAAACTACTACTATACTATGTTCATACTTCATTTATTTCTTCGCTTTTCAATTGAGCTCACAACGATTCTAGACAAAATAAAAAAAAAAATTCCCCTTTTTACATCGTCAATCACTTCTGCTTAAAGACTACAAACTGTTTTTTTTTCGTTTTATTATTATTAGTAAAATTACTCAATGAAGAAATACTCAACTATATTTAATGATTATATCTCAATTCCGTAAAATTTTTCTATATCTTTTGATCTTTTCTTTTACGCTTATACTTTTAATTAAAAATTTCTTTTTATTAATTTTAACGTTCAATGGTTTTATTTCATTTAATGAAAAAAAAAATCCTCAAAATTACGTTGGCAAAAAATTAGGGTTTCTTACGATCAGGGAAGTCAGGGAAGTCAGGGAATTGAAATTTTTTTTTTGAAATTTCTGGTCAATTAATTACATTTTCCCTTTTTTTTCGTGAATTTTATTCTTTTTATAAAATTATTTTTATGGAAATTCTTGAAATTAATTTATTTTTAGTTTTTACAAAAACGGAGAAAATGGTCAATTTTTATTTCTAAAATTATCGAATTTCCTTAGAATTTCTTCTTTTCTAATGTGATTTTCTATTTTCTTAAATTTTCGATTTTCTTTTCATTTCCAAATTTTCATTTCTTAAAGCGATTTTTCGTTTTAAATCCTCTTTTCTTTGGAATTCCTAAAATTTATTTATTATTTTTTAAATAAAATTTTTTCAAAGTTACAGACTTGATTAATGTATTTTTTTTTTGTTATAATTGGGCCAATATTTAGGAATTTTAAAAATTCTTGATTTCTTTGAGTTGTTTTTCAATATAGTATTTCCTTAAATTTTCTTTTCATTTTCTAAAATTGTAATTTCGTAAATATTTCAATTTATCAGCTATTTTAATATCGTTAATTTATATTACATATATTAGGTAATGCATAATAGGGAAGAAGCTTAGAATAAGTTAGGAAAAAGTTAGTGAATTATTTTTGTTAAACTTGTTAGATATCCTAAAAAAATTTTTTTTTTCTCTTTTTTATAAAAAATTTAAACAACTTGAATTTTAGAAATGTATTTCCTTTTTGAATTTTTAGAGGTTTTAGAGTCCTTTAGGCAAATAATATTGAAATTAGATGTTTTATTATATAAAATTCAAAAATTAAATACCGTCAACCGGGGTAATTATACCCATAAAAACGCTATTTTTTTTACTCAACACGCCATTAAAATTCAGAATTAAAAAAAAAATTTAACTGCTACGCTCAACAAGAGAAGGGACCCTATGTTAATAAAATTTGAGGTTATGTTTGTGATTTTTGAAGTGAAAATACTCGTAGAGTATTAACGTTTAATATTATAAAAAACATTTTATGTTTGAGTCTCTATGACATTCAACAAATTCAATTAAAAAAAATGTTGATTTTATGTAATTAAAAAGAAAATTTTAATGAAGGTAAAATTATCACTAAACATAAACTAATATTTTTTTTGACGTGTAGGGTCCTTTCGTGATTAAAAATTTCTTTTTTTAATTATAATCAAAATCAGTTTATATTAAATTATTTTCGATGTAATGAAGAATTAAACATCAATGATTTGTATTAGAGAATTGATCCCCCGTGTATTTTCATTTTAAACTATCATAAACATAACCTATAATTTTGTTGTTCTTAGGTCCTTTCTTCAGTGCGCGTCACATATATAAATTAGTATTATCATAATGTTAATAAGAATTATTACCTATTATAAATTTTAATAATAATAATAATATAATATTTATTATTATTAATTTTGTTATTAATAATAATAAATATTAATATTAATAATCTAATAGGTAGATAATTATTATTATTAATATTAATTTTGAAATTATTTTATTAATATTTAAAATGCCGGTACAGTTAAATAACTTCATCATAATTATTTGAATGAGAAGCGATTAGCGCGAGCGAAACGATTATTTTAAGCCAAGAAGCGCTGAAACCTTGAAAAATTTCTTTTTATTAAAAATAGAAACGTTTACGTTCCCAAATTACGTTTGGCAATGCGATTGAAATCCACAACTTGTATAGGCTAAAATATCACCTGTTTGAGTCAATGTTTGCAAACTCTACGCCACTGATATATACTTCAACGACAGGTGCAGTTCTTTCGATTGCATCTGCTCATTATATAGTTGCAGTAATCTCTTTCTTTCTCTCTCTATCTCTCTCTCTCTCTTTCTTTAAGTTCTTATAAAGTTGAAAAAAGATACAAAACTTATTTTAAAAAAATTCTTCATTGATTCTGAAAATTTTTAATTTAAATTGCAAAATTTATAGGAAGAAATATTTTTAGCTCATCGATATTTATATATTTTTTTGAGGGATGGAAATTTCTTTTTTTCTAGATATTATTTTATATTTAGATATATAGACAATATTATGAAAATTAAAAAAAAATATTTTTTCTATTTACTATTGCTATTTCTACTATTTTTCTTTATACGATATTGTCATTAATACAAAATTTTCTTGCATTCGAATTTTTACATTTATTTTTATTTTTATATTTAGTCAAATTTTTCTTTGATTTATAGAATTGTCAATACATTGAATTCTCATCATATAGTAGGAATGAAATAAAATTTTTTGTTAGAACAAATATATTTGCACCATAAACACTTTATATAGCGAAAAAAGAGATTTCACATTTGTTTTGGAAGTGTTCCAATGACTTGCTCAATTCGATTGGCATATAGTAGAGCGTTCGACCTAAATAGAGGGATGTTTAGTGAAAGGACTTTTTTTTTTTTTTTTGAGACGCATAAATATTCCCTGAAATTCATTAGTTTGAAATTGATCAAATTTTATAAGGCTAAATTTCCAACAAATTTTATTTCGTATAAGTACAATTATTATTGAATCAAATTTTCAAAATTTAGAATTTTTTATTTAAGTAAAATTATTTGCTACAAAGTATTGAATTTTTATTATAGATTTATTTCAGAATTTCTATTTAATATCATTATTAGTTATTAGAATAGAATTTTTTTTTATTGATGAGAATTTATAATATATTTAATCGAATTTTCACTTAATACAATTTTAATAACACGAATTTTCATTTGTCAGAATTCTCAGTTTAAAAAAAAAATTTCTATTTAACTGAATTTTTATTTATCAGCATTTTTCGTTTTCTGACTTTTAAAAATTCGAATCAATTAAAATTCTGTTGAATGAGAATTCCGATGAATTAATATTGATTAATTATTAGATAATTATTGATAGATTATTAGATAATTTTTTAAAATAAAAACTTGGGGAAAGAGAAATTTTTTGTAAAATAAAAATTGGATCAAACAAAAATACGGTTCCTAATAAAAAATCTGTTGAGTAAAAATTCCAGGCCTCGGATTATACGACTTTTTCGACTTTTTCTTAATTTTTTTCGACCTATTATAATAAGATGCGATTTTTTCGACTTTTTTTATTACATTTTTTTTTTTACAAAATTTTTAAACAAAATACGTCTTTTTTAGTATACAATGCAGATCTTCTTGAAATCTTCTTTATTTCAATTATTTAACAAATTTTTTACTAAACATTTATTATTATTATTATTATTATTATTATTATTATTATTATTATTACTATTATTATTATTTATTTACAATTTAATTATTTTTAAAAATTTTAATGAAATTTTTCCCAAATTCAATTATTTTTAATGATATTTATAAAATTCTTCTAAAATTCAATTATCTGAAAGCATTTTTCAATTGAAAACTTTCATAATTTAATTTTTTTCCTATTATTTTTTAATAAATTCTTCAGCAACATAAAACACCAAAAAATTTCAATTAAAAATGACTCGAAGTTCAATTAATTTCAAAAATCTGAATAGTAAATCTTTGAAAATTAAATTATTTTTAAAAAATGTCACCTAAAATTTATTTAATAATTTATTTTCAATTTTTTAAAATTTAATTATTATCTGAAATTTAATAAAATCTTTTCAAAAATTCAATTATTTCTAAAAATTTCAACTGTAATTCTTTAAAAATTCAATTATTGTTAATAATTTCCACTGTAACGCTTCAAAAATTTAATTATTTTTAATAGTTTTAATTTTTTTTTAAATTTCAATTATTTAAAAAAAGTTTCAAATAAAAATTCTAAAATTGAATTATTCTCAGAAATTCCCCCCAAAAAAAACTACAACAGAGTTTAAATTTGCAGAAAATTTATTTCAAATTTAAAATCTTTTGCAATTCAATTATTAAAAAATATTAATTTGAAAATCTGTAAAACTTAATTAGTGTTCGATTTTTTTTTGACCATATTAAAACTAAAAACTATGCCAAAAATTTTAATTCGAATAAATTGCTTTAATCAGACTTCAAAAAATTATAAAAATGGAACTTTAAGAATTTTTTTTTTTAGAAATTTGTCCTACTTAATTAAAATTTAGAAAATTTATCTTATTTTGATTTTGAAATACTTGAAATAAATTATCTTGATAATATTTTGATTAAGGAATTAAAATTCATTTAATATCTAATAACATTAGTTATTTAAATTAAAATATTTATTTACTAATTAAAATTAATTAAAATAAAAAATCAACTTTTTTTGGAATGTTAAATGAGATTTCAATTAAATCAAATTCCATTAGAAGTAAAAATTCTTCGAAAAATTCAGTTGAATATATACAATATTTCTATTTTATAAAATGTATAGATAAATTCAAAATCGACCTTAGGAATTTTGAAACACTGAGGAAATTCGTTTTAATAATTCTTGAGGGAATAAAAATGTGTCCTTTTTTAAATTGTTTTTTAATGCGTTAAAATATAAGTGCATATATTCTTAAGAGAGTTCTGATATAGTAAAAAAAAAATTTTGTTAACGGTAGAATGTTCATTGGATTTTTTTTTTGTTTCAGTGGATGTCCAGCACGCGGAACACATCAAAGGTTTGGAACAAGCGATGCGTGAAGAGCGAGCTTTGTTTGAAAGGCGACTCCAGGAGACGGCCAAGGAAAATCGTGCAACTATTGCCAGGTTACAGGCTGAACATGAAACGGAGCTTACTCGCGTCAAAGAGGATGAGACTGATAATAGACGAATATTCGTTCACGATCAAGGTGCAGTTTTACAGGCCGAGGCGGATTCCTTGCGAACTGTGCTTGATCTTAGGAGCAAGGAAATCACTGGACTGAGATCGGAGATTGATTTTCTGAGGTAAAAATTTACACGTTAATTCATTTTTAATCCTATATATTATCTTAATCATAAACTATAATATACCCCTATTTTAGAAATCTTCTCGTTCTTTTGTAAATTTCTCAAATAAATTAATAAATACCTACTCATCTCTACAATCATATTTTTTTTACTGTAAAATAATTTTTTGAAAGTATTTATATTTTACATGTTGAATTTTTTTTAGTTTTATTAAGTATTATTTATTTTGGAAAATTTTCTTAAAATTAATTTCATTAATTATATATAATATAATAAAAATAAATTCAATTATTGAGTTATATTATTTAATTTAAAAAAGTTTAAGTTATTAAATTAAAATTAGATTTTCAGTTGTTTTTAAAAATTCATTTAAGTACTTATACAATTTTATTAATTTTAAAATCACTTATTTTTATAAATTCATTTTTTTTAAAATTCTTCTCTTATATTCATATTTAATTATTTTGTAAATTCAATGAGAATAATGATAACACCATGCAATAATCGGCACTACTTTAACATGCCCTTAAGACGATTAAACTTCTTGACATAACCTTAAACTAAGTATTGGTTTTAATACAAAATAAAACTTTAATTAAAATTAATTTTACTACACGGAATGAAAATAAATATCAAATTTTATAAAAGCATTTTCAAATTTTGTAAAAGTATTTTCAAGTCGTGGAAAATATTATAAAAAGCGAAATTTCCATATAAGAAATACTAATCTTTAATAAACATTTTTTTGAAATTTACAATAGTTATAATAAAATTTGGTAGAACGTATTTGATTCATTATTAATTGATACTAAATTTTATTAAATCCTGTATAAAAATAAAATATAAAAATATTATATAAATAAAATGTCTGTAAAATGAAAATTCGTTTAAATAACAATTCTGTAATATAGAAATTCGATTAAATGGGATTTCTGTTAAATAATAATAATAATTCGAAAAAATAAAAATTCAGCTAAAATAAAATTCATTTCATTTTGTCAAATGAAAATTTTAAAAAATTCATTTTAAAACTTATGCCTCTCGAAATGCTATTAAATTAGAATTTAGTTAAATAAAAATTGTTCGATATGAAAATTAGTCTCATTATAAAATTCTCCTAAATAAAAATTCAATAATTTTTAATTCACCACCAAAAAAATTTGGACAATTATTCTAATGTGGGGAATATTTATGCGCTCCGTTAGAAACATGCATTGAAAAAAATACACGATTTCATATGTTCAAAAAGAGAAAAAAAATTTATTAATAAAATAATTGTAAAATATTAATAATAATAATAATAAAAATTCTTTAATTTACAGACGAGAATTAGAGGGTAAACAAATGTTAGAGCAACGTGTCGAGTCATTGGAAGCAAAATGCGAGGACTTGAAAGCACAACTTCAAAGTAAAGAAATTTATGAACGTCAAATTTCCCATGAAAATGAAGTATTATTAGATTCCTATCATGAGGCATCGAAACATAATAAACGTCTAACGCAACGCAATGAGGAACTTCTTTGGAGGTTGAGACAAAAAAATGAAGTTGTCAATGTATTGGCAACACAATTGGCAACACCACCACAAAGACTTTCACGTTCACTTGGTCCTGAGCATATTGATCATACAATAACCGGTAGCAATAGTCCACAATCATCATCAATGGTGAAATATATTGTTGAAAAGGGTGATTCAATATCGTGGACAGTGACAATGGATGAGGCTGCAGAACGTGTTGCACCATCGCGACGTAATACAGTCTCGAGGCAAAGTTCATTGAGACTTGCATTGCCACGCGGACAAACAACGTCTTCAGTGCGTGCACGATCGAAAAGTGTTTCGGTGAGCGAGCCAAATGAAACAAATACATGGACACCGGCCTTTAATTCGACGCCATTGAGACGACGACCGGGCAGCGTTTCACCGTCAACAAATTCAGAATCTGTCGAGGAGACGAGCACTGGCCCAAGACCACAGGAAGCCGGTGGCGAGGCAATGATCTCAGAGGAGACATCAACATCGAGCAGCGAAGACGAATCATTTGCAAATGGCGACATTTCTCGACTGACTATGGATTTTTGGGAAAAATCATCGGCCGAGTAAATTGTGCGTGTCTTTCGTGCTTCTTACATTAAAAGTATTAGCATTCTATTTTTTTTTTTCAAATATTATATATTACAAGGACATTTTTTTTTTTTTTTTTTGGAAATCAGTTGTACATAATTGTTTATAAGTTTTAGTTTATTTTTTTCTTTTGTGAAAACGATGCGCGCAATAGAATTTTATCTTTGCTTTAAAAAAAAAAAAAAAAAAAAAAATTAATTTAATTTTCCTCATTGTGTATAATGTATAATCGAGGATTATTGAATATCTTTTTTCTGTCTCTATCTCCTTCTATCTTCCTCTCTTTCTATACAATTAAATAGATTGTCTTTCGACAAAAACATTAATTTTTCTATGTATAAAGTTATTTTATTCGCTATAGACTTCTTAATCATAAAAGTCACTTTAAATTGTAAGGTAAAGTAGTTATTAAAAAAACAAAAAAAAAAAAACCAATGCAAATTTATTATTTCTACCTGTTATTTAGTTACTATTCCTCAAAATTGTTCATTTCTTTTATTACCACACGGTAAGAAAAAGTGTTAAAAATATTTTTAAATATTTTAAATGTTTTTAAGTATTTTTTTAGACTTTAAAAATTTATTTTAAGATTTTTGGAGAAATTTTAAATAAAAGAAATTACTATCCTTATTAAAACTAATTAAATAATTTTCGAATATTCTCATAATAAAATCAATATTTTAGAACGAAATTATATTGCCGACTAATGATAAAAATAGGAAAATAAAACTATAAAAATTACCGACATACAGGAATCTATATTGCCGACTGATGATAAAAATAAGAAAAAATGAAAATATAACAATTACCGACTTATAGGAATCTACATTACCGACTTACATAGTAAAAAGTGAAAATAAAAAATTACCTATGTACAGGTATTTACATTGCCGACTGATGGTACAAGCGGGAAAATAAAAATTACCGACATACAGGAATCTATATTGCCGATTGATGATAAAAAAATTAAAATATAAAAAATTACCGACTTACAAGAATCTACATTGCCGACTGATGGTGAAACAGAATTATGCAAATATAAAAAAAATTACCGACATATAGATAAAAATTTATTTTTCAAAGTCGGCAATGTAGATTCCTCTAAGTCGGTAATGTTTTATATTTTCATTTTCCTGTTTTTTTACTATCAGTCGGCAATATAGATTCTATACAAATTTTGTCCCTAAATATTAATTTTGTGAAGAGAAAATATTCGAAAGTTATAGACCACTTTTTCCCTGTAGTAGGTCAAATAATTTTCTCCCACATAGCCTTAAGACTTTTTTTTAATAAATAGAATAATACAAAAATAATAAAAATACTAAAAATTAGTCAATTGATATTATTTTTTATAACAGTTTTTTTTTCTTTCTATGTATTTCATCTGAACTCAAATATTATATAAAAATTTTTTTTTCAGTTGAAAAAAAATAAAAACTTTTTTTATGAAATACGAAAAAGATTTATTTTAAATCAATTTCAATAAAATAATTTTTAATTTTAAACTCAAAATGAAAAAACAGTGTAAATATAAAATGAGTATAAATGAGGAAAAATAATTTTCTTCTACTTTTGATTTTATTTATTCATTGTGTATATTTATATTCTAAGCAAAAATTAATATTAGTAATTCTCATTTGTACAATATTAGTACATTTTTGTTTAAATTTAACAACATTATTCAAATCTTTAAACTTAAACAAAACTTACAAAAAATGTATTTTTTTCCAAATTTTATTTTATTTTTAGAAAGAAAAAAAGTTACTATTACTAAAATACTATTTTGTATTATTATTACTATTATTATTACTAAATATACAAAAAATTGTTGCGCAATTTTATTCTAAGTTTTAGAAATTATGTTTTGTGTCATAAAAAAATATATTTTATTTATAATATATGAAATCACAAATAATGAGTCAACCATAAATACTTTGCATCTTATTCAACATGATGACAATATATTTAAACATGGATGAATGTTGAATTTCTTTAAACAAACTTTATTTAAAGATTAGTTATAAAGAATCTATAAACTTTCCGTCTTTGGCGCTTAATATTAATATTGGCTTATTTTCTTTTGGGAGGCTTTTGAAATGAAGGATATCGTGTATGCCTCGTTACAGCTAAAACAAAAGATTTATTTATTATAATTTTATTTTCTATAGATATATTTATGAATAATTTAATTTAACTATTTTTAAATATTATATTTTTTATAAAAATAAATAAACAACAAAAAAGAAAAATCAATTCATCCAAACTTAATTGTTAATTTTGATAATTTATATAAAAATTTTTATATTTCTTTAGCGGATTATTTAGACTTTTCCGTTTTCAAAATTCAGCTTGGAAAATTTGTTTAAAATGAAAAAATTTGCTCGACCACACGGTATAAAGTCAGTTAAACGGACAAAAATGTGAAAAAAATTGAAATTCGAAATTTTGATTTTTTAAAAATTACTATCTCATGGGAAATAAAATGCATTGTTTTGTAGAACGAATACATTTTAGAAAATTTATTCAATTTTAAAACATAAATTTCGTCATAACTTCGACAATTGATTAAAAAAAATGAAAATTATTAAAAATAAAAAAATATAAGTTGTGCTAAATTTTTAGAAAAATGTTATATTTGATAAAATTATTTAGTATAACTTCTACTTTTTCAAAATTTTGCTTGTAAAATTTGCTAATAATTTTTGAAATTAGTAAGGTAGCCATTTTACATTTAATATAGGGTACATATTTTTTTAAATAAATAAATAAATATGACGATAATAAAAAAAACTTAATTAAATTACATAAATAGATATTTCATTAAATAAAAATTCATAGACTATAAAAATTCGGTTCAATTAAAAAAATATAGAATATAAAATTCAACAAAATAAAAATTTAATCTTATTAAAAATTTGAATAAATTGAAAATAATGAATTTTATATTTAAAATTTTAATAAATAATGGAAATAAATACCTATTCTTTCGTTGACGAATTTCATACGTCGATTACGGCTGTCTGGTGGAAGATTCTCAGTCATTTTTTCAATAAAATTATCAATTACCAATGACCTTGTCATATTAATAATTTGTCTTCGACACACTGGACAGAGATAGCCTTTACTTTTAGTAAGCCACATCATAATGCAATGATGGCAAAATGTATGCATACAATTTGTCGTCATTGCCTTTACAAATAATTCCGAACAAATGCTACAAGTTAATTGTTCATCCATTATATTTTCAACTTTATTGAAAATCTCTTTATTTGCTTGCTCCACGAATGATGTTCGTGGTGTGTCTAATGTTAAATCAATTGTATCGAGGATATTTAAACTATTTGGATTTATATTTGCATTGGCACTATGTGAGCCATGAGGTAATTGAACAACTATCATATTTTCCATAAGATCAACTGGAGCTTCGATAACTGAAAACAAAATATTAATTTTCTTAATATTTAATTCAGAAAAATAATAATGAGAATATAAAGCAATTTTTTTGCGTAGCTAAAAAAAAAAATCACTAACAGGCCTTGGATCGACTTTAAGGAACAAAAAAAAGTCGATTTTTTTTAGTTTAACAAAATTTAATTGGTTATTAAATATTTTACTTTAAATAACTACTGTTATTGGATATTAAATTCATTTTATTAATTCTGTAATGAAGATAATTTTATAAAAATATTATCAACAAAATTTATTTCGAATATTTCAGAATTGAACTAATTGTAAGACAAATTTTCAAAATTTTATTTAAGTAGGAAAAATTTCTAAAAAAAAATTCTCAAAGTTCTATTTTTATAATTTTTTGAAGTCTGATTTAAACAATTTATTTGAATTTAAAATTTTGTCATAGTTTTTAGTTTTTATGGCCAAAAAAATTTCAGGCAATACTTAATTAAGTTTTACAGATTTTTAAATAAATTTTTTTTTTTAAATAATAATTTTGGAAGAGTTAAAGTTGAAATTTTTAGAAATAATTGAATTTCAAAAGATTTTGTTAATTTTAAGACAATAATTAAATTTTACAGAACTAAAAATAATTTATCAAATAATTTTAGATAACATTTTTTAAAAGCAATTGAATTTTGAAAGATTTACAATTTAGACTTTTGAAATTAATTTAACTTCAAGTGATTTTTAAATTAAAATTTTTGATGATTTCTATTGCAGACAAAAATACAATAATTTGAAAACTTTTTAAGTGAAAAATGGTTTCAGATAGTTGAATTTTCGAAGAATATTATAAAAATCATTAAAATTAATTGGATTTCAGGAGAGTTATAATTGAAATTATTAAATTTCAAAAAATTATAGATAAAAAATTTTAGAAATAATTAAATTTTAGAAGCTTTTAAAATGAAATTTTTGAAAATAATTAAATTTCAAAAGATTGTGTTAGAATTTGAGACAATAATTATAATAAGAGAAATTTTTAGTGATTTCTATTGATGAAGAATTTATTAATTACATAAAAAAAATTGAATTCAAAAAGTTTTTAATTAAAAAATGCTTTCAGATAATTTAATTTTCGAAGAATATTATAAAAATCATTAAAAATAATTTAAATTTTTTCAAATAATTAAATTTCAAGTGATTTTAAATTAAAATTTTTTGGTAATTTTATTTGCTAATTTTTTTAAAATTATAAACAATTATTAAATTTCATAAAAATTTTAATTGAAAACTAGTTTAAGATAATTGAATTTGTGAAGAATTTTAGTTAAAATTTTTTTAAATAATTGAAATAAAGACTTGAAGAAAATCTGCATTGTATAATAAAAAAGACGTATTTTGTTAAAAATTTTTTTCAAAAAAATGTAAAAAAAAAGTCTAAAAAGTCGCATTTTATTAAAATAAGTCGAAAAAAATCGTTATAATCCAAGGCCTGCACTAATAACACTGAATTCGAAAATTTTCAAAATATGAATTCAAATGATTAATTAAATCATTTAATTTTAAATGTAAAATTAAATTAATTAATTTAAATTTAATTTTAAATTAAAATTGATAATAATTACTGTTTTGAGGAGAGATTGACTCAACCGCAAGTTCTTTTTGTTTATTTAATGTTTCCTCCATTTCTTTAAGTTTTTGCTCCAAATGATTTTTTTCATTCAATAATTTATCTTGTGCATTCTTCTCCTCTGAAACAACTGAATCCAATTTTGTTTTCCATTCCTCGTTTTGTTTAATTTTCCACTCTTCCATTTGTTCCCTTAAACTCACTTCAAGTGTCTCTTTCTCTAGTTTACTTGCCTCAAGTGCCTCCTCCCATTTTCGTTTCTCGTCAGCTAATTTTTCTTCAAATATTTTTTTCTCCTCCTCAAGTCTATCGAGAAGACTTCGATATTTATTATGTAAATCTTTCTCCATAACATTTCCCGATTCAATTTTTTGCTCCAAAATTTCAATTTGTTTATTCAATTCTTGCGTTACCTCCTTTTCTTTTCTTAATTTTTCAAGTTCTTCTTTGAATGCAATTTGTTCACGTTGTTTCTCCTGTAATTGATCTTCGAGATCTTTTCTTTTTGCTTCTTGTTCATTCATAAATAATTTTTGTTCATTAATAACATTGTCTAATAATTTTTCCTCTAATCGTGGTCTTTTTACAGTTGGACCTGATTTTAAATTTAATGCGAATACATATTTATAATCTTCATCGGGATTTAAGTTTACAATATCGCCAACTTTTAGAATATGTGTTTCATCTTTATTAAGGGATTTATTGTTAATGTAAATAGGATTAACGGAACTGCAATTTATAATAGACCATTCCTCATCGTCGGTGAGTTTAACAATGCAATGCTGACGAGAAATATTTAAATTTTTTATGATAAAATCACATTGAAGACTTCGACCAATATTAAACTGAAATATAATATTGTATTTTTGCTATTTTATCTTAAAAATTTTTTAAATTATAATAACAGGGTGTCTAACAATTGCTAGAAAAAAAATTCTTTAACTTTTTCCTGACCTAAATTACACTAAAAAATTTTTATTTTGATCAAATAAAATATATTTTGATACATTTTCCAGTCTATTATCCACTAATTTCATATGTATTTGAATCAAATAAATAATGTTTCGTAAAAAATAAATTATTTAAGTGAAATAAACTAATTGAGGACGTATAAATATTCTCAACATTTAATTTAAAAGAATTTTTACGGCGTCAAATCTTATAAATTATCAAATTTTTATTTAATAAAATTATATAAAGCAGATTTTCCAGTAGATCGAATTTCAAATTAATACAATTTCAATTTAACGGAATTTATGTCAAGAAAAATTGCATTAAGAACAAATTTTTTTAACAGAATTGTTATTTTAGTAAATTTTGATTTATCAAAATATTTACTTAACAGAATTGTCATTGAATAAATCCACAATTAACAGAATTTCTATTTAACAAAATTCTTAATTAACAAAGTTTTTATTAAAGAAAATTTTAATTCGAACTAATTTTCATTTAACAGAATTCTCATTTAAGAAAAATTCTACCTAGTTCTTTTTTTTGTCAATTTTTCTAGACATAAATTTCGTTAAATTGAAATTATATTAATTTAAAATTTAGAAAAAGTATTTTAAAAAATGCTTTATAAGAGTTCTGCTAAATAGAAATTCTTTTAAATCGAATTTTAGTTAAATGTAAATTGAAAATTTTGAATAATATAAAATCCACTTTATACAATTTTGCTAAATAGAAATTCGATAATTTCAGATTCGACGCCGTAAAAATTTTTATAAGTTAAATGTGAGTATTCAGCATTAAATAATAAATTATTCGTATTAATGAATAATTTACTTTATTTGAAGTAGAACCGATAAAATAAAATTGTATCAAATAATTTTTATTTATATTAAAAAACCAAATATTTCACTAAAAAATATTAATTAATTGTTATCCAAGTTTAAAAAATCGTTTATTAGATTCAATAAATAGTAGTAAATAAATATTTACTTAATGAATGTAAGCTATATCACATGCTTAATAATTGAGTGTGAAGGCCAACTTTTTAATTTGCATTTGCTTTGGGAAAAAAGTAAAAAAATTTTTGAAACTAATAGTTACTTTAATTTATTCATAAAAAAATTCCAGAAAATTAAGAAAATTCCCTGACTTTTCCCTGACCGTTAGACACCCTGAATAATTATAAATAAATATATAAGTAATAGTATAATAAATAATAAATTTAAAAATAATAAATTTTTTTCAAATGAGAGATTAAAATAATTATAATAAACATAATTAAAATTTAAATAGAAATTACACTCAATTAAAATTGTATTCTATTGAAATTAAAAAAAAAAATTCGTTCGATAATGAAAGTAATATATAATTTTGAATTTATTTAAAAGTTAACGGAACTTAGGTTATTTTCTAAATGTTTTGAAATTTTATTAAAGTAAAAAAATAATCATGAATTTAATTTTTGAAAAAAGTTAATTTTAATCTATTTTCCCGATATTTTTATTAATTATTTTAAATTATAGTACTTTAGTAAATTAAAAATAATATAATTTTAATAGAGAAAAAGGTTATGTCTTAAAATATATATATGGGAAAGTTACCTCATTCTTTGTTATGTGTATATCTTGAACTGATTGACAATCCTTATTTACTCGCACTAATACAGCTTCTAAATCTTGTGAAAATTCCCTTTTTTCACCTTTCACTTCCATTTTTTTAAAAATAATATCACTTGCATTTAATATAAGTAAAATTTTGATTTCTTTTTTAAAGGAGAGAATTATAGTGGCTGTTTATGTTTTCAAACAAAAACATTGACAATCTCAACAATTAGCAATGATTAGGCATGAGAAAGATGGTAAACTTGGTGTATCTGAAAACTTCAAGTGGTGAGAGATGACTCGCATTTTAAACTCATTTAGTACCGATAGCTCATTAGTGGTGCGCTACAATAGTTGTAACGTGACAATTTTTGAGATTTAGTCTAATTTAAAATAAACCTATTAATTTAGGAAACTAATATAAAAATTTTTGCTGTATTATGTGTATATCTCTAGTTTGTTAAAACAGTTTTTTTAATTGTAAATAAAAAATTTCTACCAATTAAGTACTCGGTTCCTAATGTGGAACACTAAACAAATTGTTATTATAATGTGAATTAATTTAGATAACTATGACGGTACATAGGTTGTATTTTCATTTGCGCATAATAAATTAAAAATGTAATATAATATACGCACGAAGTAGTATAAGGAGATCTCACTTCTCATGAAAAGTGATGACGATTTTTCTTTTCTATTCGAAGTCGTCTTAGTTAGCGTTCGCAACGCCTCTGTAGTGAAAATGTTGCAAATCAAAAATCGTCTGCTAAAGTATTTTGTGGAAAAAATGTCAAGTGTTCTTTTTATGACAAGAATAAACAAAAGAGTGAAAAAAGAAGTTAATGTTTAATCAAATATATATTTAAAAAGACATTTTTATAAAAAGTGTGCTCTGTATTCGAGTTCCGGAATATATACTGTAAGTATAATGTGCAAAATAATGATTTAATATTATAAACTTCGTTTACGAGTATGTTGACTATGTTATTAATTTTATTATTATTAATTATTAATTAACTATAATAATCTTCGTATTCTTTCATTCATTCTGTCCGCAGTTTGAAGTTAGTTATTTTTGTATTCTTTTTTTTTTTTAAATATTTTGATATTTGACAATTCGAAATGTGGTTATGGTGTGTCTTTTTGTTTACATTTTCAAAACGTTTGTTCAACACGTGAGTTATCTAATTATATATTTATTTTTTTATGTACTTGAAATTACTATAATTAAAATTTTTTTTTATTTTAGAAATTAGCTTTTTTAAACATTTTTCTTAAAATAAAACACTTATCTGAATTTTTTTATTTTTGAATTAAAAATTCCAACTTCATTTTTCGTATTTTTTTAAAATTAGTATTGTTTTGTAAATTTATTTATTTTACTGTAATTCTTTTATTTAAAAAAGGTAATAACAAAAATTTTATTATTAAAAAGTGAAATTTTTGAACAAAATTTTTTAGCGATAATTTTATTTACTACATTTTTTATCTTATTAAATTTAAGTTGTTATAAATCCCGGATTTGTTAAACATTAAAATTCCTAATATTTCTGTTTTAAATTATAAATTATTTTTTATAGGTCAAGATGTCAACAAAAGGAGCAGAGCTAATCGATTCAAAAACCACAAAAAGTTTTCTAAAACGACGAAAAATAGAAAATAAAATTGGTCAAACTTTGGATAAGGATACAAATGTCTGTACATTTGAAGTTATAAAAAAAAACATTGATTTAATAAAGCTTCCTACATCGACGTGGGCCTTTTCAAGAGGAAATTCGTTATTTTGTGGATTCCAGAAAGCGGAAGAAAATGGGACCGTGAGAAAAAGAGTAGCAGTTGTTCCTAACTTTGAAATTAAAATTTATATTGATGACAATTTAATTCCATTCTGTGAATTTATTCGTGTAATGAATATCGCAGAATTTGGTAAATTATTGGAACTTGTCGATAAGTATCCATTAACTAAAAATTGTAAATAAGAATAAGTTAAATTACAATGCTTTATATAAATTGCGAAAGCAAGGTATCAATTGTCTGCTATAGCAGACCAGTAATTTTTTTACGTTTTTTCCATGTATTATCAGTGCGAATTTAATTAATTTCAATATCAATTTTTTTTATTTTGATATATACAAAAATAATTTGAGACAAAAAATAAAATTATACATCGTTGTATTAAAACAGTGTATCATTCAAAAACATATTTACACTTATACAATGCAATTTATAAATAACAGTGAAATGAAATTTTTAAAAACTGAGTAAAAATGTTTTTATTTAACATTAATTATACAATTTTGTAACATATTGTATATTTTTCTTTTATATAAAATGTATGAAATTTTAACAAAAAATTTTATTTACATCCTTTTTTGTAATTTTTTTTTCATTTGCGCTGTTGGCTCCTTAGAAACATCACTTCTTGTTGAAATTAACTTCGCTGCTTTTCTCTTTTCCTTGCTTTGCTTTCTTTCGAGATTGTTCAAGTTTGTTTGTTTCGCCAAGAAGTACATTCTGGTCGTCAAGTAGAATGACATGATACGACGAGTTAATAGCAATTCATGCTTCCTACAGCCAACATGTGCAATTGGACCTTTTTTTTCCAAGAGTTCAGTTATTTCAAAAAGTGTGTTTTTCTGAGGCATTTGGTCCTTCACAACAGACATAATAGCTTCTTCGATAGATGTAATTACAAATGTCAATTTGGAGGAAGGGTGCTTCAAGAAACCTTGAGTTTTTAATTCTATGAATTTATGACTCTCAGGTATACTTTCCGTTTTTTTTAAAACTAACGAGGACTCACAATCTTTACAAATGTATTGTTTCTTTTCCTCGACGTATTTGCAGAAACGAGTGATAGCTTTTCTAGCTACATATCCCGCCATATAAGCTATAGCATACTGAGAAGAATCCGAGAAGGAATAATCATGCTCTTTTTCGATTAGTTCAACTTGAGGAAGAACTTCGAAATTTCCTCTATCTAAAATGGTGTCTAACTTATTTTGCCATTGCTCTTTCCTTTCGTTGATATCTTCGATTGAATCTATTTTGAGCAAGACGTCCAAAATTTCAGAGCTAGAAATATTTGACCCTTTTGGCGGTCGAGAAATGGAGTACGTTGATATTAAACGATACATTTGAATAAATAAATTCGAATCCGGGTGATCGTTTGCTCCGCAGCTTTCTCTCATCATGCCGAAAAATCTCTGTAATTATCAAATACAATACAAATATATTAAAATAAAAAGAAAATTATATTAAATTAATAAGTAATATTAACGTACTTCTAAAGCATCCTGATTCAAGCGTGAAGTCATCAAATAAGTGAAACCACAATCGTTCACCAAATATTCGCAAAGTTGTAATGTTGCTTGGAGAGATACTAAAAGTCCGTAGTACGTCGATTCTGTAATGAATTTTCGTCCACTTTCATCAGTAAGTTTCTTCCATTCTTTCAAGTACACTATAAAGTCCTGCACTTTCTACACAGAAATATATATTTTTTCATATTATTAAATATTTTATAATTTCTTTAATTTTTTATTTTGTCGTTTTTTATATAATAATTACTTTAAAAGGTTCATTTCCTGGAGCCATTGCCGTTAAAGGTGTTCTGCAGTTCATAGCGTTAATAACGCCTTTTACTCTACTACAAAATTTTTGCACGTTTACACTGTTCTCTAGTTCCGGATGCCGATCCCTATATAACTCCAAAATTTCAGCGATTCCAAAGAACTGTAGAAAATAAATATTAGAATTATTGTAGGATATTAAAACCTTTTTATATTATAATAACAGTAAGAAAATATAAATTTTCTCACCTGAAAGGCTAAAGCGACGTTCATTTTCTGAAAATATTTAGGTTGAATGTGATCGATTCTCAATTTAAAATTTACTTTTACATTGTAAGAAGTTGTACTCTCTGATTCTAGTAAAGCAATCCAAACAAGAAGAGATATTATTCCATCTGGAGTCTACAAACAAAATTTTAAAAATTTATTATAAAAAAATTAAAAACTTTTTTACAATATACAATTATAAATTATTTTAATGTTCGTACCAATATTCCGTCCCTGATTCCAAGGCTTATTAAAAAATTCCTCAAGCATTTAATTAGATGAGGGAAATCTGAGATAAACCAAATACGTCGCTTCTTGTCTACTATGTGTACAATGCTCACGACTTCTTCAGTTACACCAAATTTGTCCCACATACTGCGATTCCAGGCTGCTCCATCAGAAGTTACAACATCTATCAATAAGCCAGCGTTTTCTGATAGTAAAATACAGTCAATCAACAACTTGTGTAAAACTGTACTGCTAGCACTCCCTTTGCTGAGGAAGCATCCCAATGTTTGAACTTGTCCAGTCATAAATGACTGGAACATGAATACTAACGCATGGTCAGCAAGTTGGGATTTTTTATGCTCTGGTGTATAATCGCCTAAATTAGTAAAACCTTCGAATGTAAGGTTTACTGGGTTGTATGTTAATGCTGTCGATAACTTCATTTCATCGATGAGAATAGCCCCTATAATAAACCATACAATATTTTATTCAAGTTTATTATTAAACTCTTTCAAAACAGAATATTTACGTTTCTAATAAAAAAATGTTAATAAAACAGTTCTACTTACCGTGTCGGTCTTTGGGATCCATTGCCGCTGTTTTTAATTTTAAAGTTTCAAAAACATTATCTTGAAAGCCGTATGCACTTTTCATTCGCTTCATGCATCTATCAAGTGTTTGAAATGAGGGCAATGCAAGCACCTTCTTCTTTCTAAGGTGTTTATAGCCCTTCTTGCTCTTTATTCTAAGAAGAATACATTCATAAATCCACTGGCGGCAATATCTCATTCCTCTGGGTCCCTTCACTCTAGATGCATCTACACAAGCTCTTACGGCCAATTGTTCATTTGCCGATAGATTTTCCATTGCCTTTACCAAACTATCCTCCGCAACTTCAGAACATTTTTTTTGTAATAATTCAAGACGATCTTTCATTTTTTTACCCTGAAAATAATTTTGTTTTAAAAGAAATAATTACTTACAAGTTGTACATAATTATGAGTATAAAATATTATTAAATTTACTTTTCTGGCAAGACGCTTATTGGTTTCAATTTTAATTTTCAAATTATTTTTTAACGTAACATTTTTGACTTTTAAACTTTTATTCTTTTCCGATAAATCTTTCCTACTGCGATTTCGGTTCCAAAAATTCTTACATTCCAAGCAATATTTTGCTTGTTGTCCTGAGGTACCTGGCTTCTTTTGCTTCACGAAACCAATACAATTTTCAGCCCTGTAGAAATTAATAATGGTTTGAATAATACAAAAATGATATTAATTAATTTTATATAAGAAAGATTTTAATAACCTTGGTCGAGTGCACTTTATGCAAGGGAGTAATTCATCTAATTTTTTTATTAAGAAACTAAGGTCACTCACTGTTTCTGTGTGATTAATGCCAGGAAAATAAAGTTCTTTTTCTTCAAAAAAAATCTGAAAGCACAAATTAAATTACTTTCTAATCACTGGATAATTGTATTTAAAAATGTTTCAAGAATTTTAATTCTTTTTGCATAAAACAAATTTCTTACCTTTACATCTTTATTTTTATCTAGAATAATTCGTGCTGCAGATTGATTTAAATTCTCCATCCATTTATTTATCAATAAATAATCTTTCATTTGAGTCACAAACCAATAAGGTGATGGTAAGGGAATTTTTTTGGCTCCGTTATAGATTTTTGAAAATAATTTTTCATTAAGAAAAACTTCGTCCACGGTTACATGTGCAACAGGCGGTGGAACTATCTTTTCCCTTTTGACAATTGGCTCTGAAAACTGTGGAAAATGTTTTGGTATGGCCCCATCCTTGAGAAGTGGTCGAATTCTTTTGGAACGAAATTCAGTTCCATCTACTAATTTAGTAACATCCTCTGTTACTATGTCATTTACGTCAAAATGTAGATGACAAACAAAAAATTGTTGTTTGAGTTTGTCCCCATTTGGAATAACATTTCTCCACTGTTGTGATGCTTCAATCTGTGCAAAAAATAATTAGTTTTTAATTTGCTTTGCCTATGTAACCAATTTGTATTCATTAATAAAAAAAATTTCATATTCGATTAAATTTTTTCCAGGTATTATTTTCAATTTTCTATTTATTTGTTATGGGTCAATCCATTATATTTCGCCCAAAGCCGTTGCGGCCTATTTTTTAAAAAATTATAATATTTTGTACAACTAATATTCAATGTCCTGATAATACATATTTGACAATAATTTTTAAAAATTTTACGGGCTTACTTCGTAATTTTAATTTTAAAGTGGAGATGCATAACAAAAATGTCATTTTGTCAGGTAGATAAATTAATTTAAAAAACACATAAATAATAAAAAAAATAAATTATTTCTCTTTTGGTAATTGTTCACAACTGTTTAATGTTCAATTTCCCTTCGATTATAAGTTGTGATTTTTTTAATATAATTATATAAGTTGATTTTAAAATTGTTGTGTCAAATTTCAAATTTACATTCATTTTATTTATTTTTTTCTAGAAAATGAATTGATATTTTTAGATGAAATGTAACTTAAAATAAATATCATCTACTGACTTTTAAAATTATTTAAATGTAAATATGAAATATTTTACCTTAAATCTTGAACTTTTACGAATTTCCACCATTTTCAAAGGATAAATTCTCCCCAGAAAAACGGAAAATTACCGTTCTGGTTTTAAAAATCAAATTGAACCTACCTTTCCTTGGTCCTGAAGTTTCGCGTTAGAAAACTAGTTAGTTTTTAAATT